TTCTTCACAGTCCAACTCTCACATCCATACATGACTACTGGAAAAACCACAGCCTTGACTAGATGGACCTTTGTTGACAAAGTAATGTCTCTGCTTTTCAATATGCTGTCTAGATTGGTCATAACTTTCCTTCCAAGGAGTAAGCATCTTTTAATTTCATGGCTGCAATCACTATCTGCAGTGATTTTGGAGCCCAAAAAAATAAAGTCAGCCACTGTTTCCACTGTTTCCCCATCTATTTCCCATGAAATGATGGGACCAGATGCCATGATCTTAGTTTTCTGAATGTTGATCTTTAAGCCAACTTTTTTACTCTCCTCTTTCACTTTCATCAAGAGGCTCTTTAGTTCTTCTTCACTTTCTGCCATAAGGGTCATGTCATCTGTATATCTGAGGTTATTGATGTTTCTCCCGGAAATCTTGATTCCAGCTTGTGCTTCATCCAGCCCAGCATTTCTCATGACATACTCTGCATATAAGTTAAATAAGCAGGGTGACAATATACAGCCTTGACATACTCCTTTTCCTATTTGGAAGCAGTCTGTTGTTCCCTGTCATTGGTAAATACTATTTAAGTGCTATTTTATTTTTTACCCTATGCCATGTGGGAGTTTGCTACCTGCCAAGGCAGCTCATACCATCTTTGGCCAGCCCTAGGCTGATCCATTGGCCACAGTGGTGAAGCAGGTTGCAGTAGTCCCTTCAGTTGGCTCTCTATACCTACATACACAGAGTTGATTGAAAAATTCTATTTGGCTGTTTCAGATAAAACTCCAAAAGGCTGAGAGCACACACACACACACCCTAGCCACTAGAGGGAGCCACACATAGTCCTTGGAAGCACTGCTGGAATGGGCAGCCCGGGTTCCAAGTCTGATTCTCCACTGGCTTCTTTGGTGTACTTTGGTAAGGTGCTTTCTCTCTGGGGCATCAGTTGCTGTTAAGTAGGGGTTTGGAATCGGGTGCATCTCATGGCCCCAACTAGCTCTAATGTGCTGTGAGCTCAGTCGCTTCAGTCGTGTCTGACTTGACCCCATGGACTGTAACCTGCTGGCTCCTCTGTCCATGGCAAGAGTACCGGAGTGGGTCACCATTTCCTTCTCCAGGGGATCTTCCCAACTTAGGGATTGAATCCACATTGCTTATGTCTCCAGCATTGGCAGGTGAGTTCTTTACCACCAGCCCACCTGGGAGAAAATTTATTAACCACTGACCCTTCAGGGCTCTAAGATTCTAAAACAGGAAGCAGGGTTTGCCCAGATGCCCACCCCATCCACCCACCAACCCAAGTCTTGATAGTGGTTTTTTTTCATTTTCCTTCTCTTTTGCTCTGTGCACGTGGCAGTGGGATTCAAACTCCATAGAACTGGGAGAGTGGGAACCCTGGCCCCATCCCTACCCCAAAGCCCCCAGCTGACCTGCCACTGACAAGTCCTTTGGTTCCTTTTTAATCAGCAAATCTTCCCTCCCTGCTTCAAGGTTCTTCTCTTCCAGACCTGCTGGCTCCGCTCAGGCTCCAGTGGGCCTGTAAAACTGAGGGACGGGGCGGGGGGGCTCTTAGAACCAAGACCATCTCATTATCTTTTTCATTAAACCTGTTCCTCTTGGGAATCTCTGTTGTGCCAGTTTCTGTGAAAGGCCATGGGTGATAAGGAAGTAATTTAAAGAGAGGAGAACTTTGCTCTCAGATAGCTTCCCAGATGGTTCTGTTCAGTTCAGTTGCTCAGTCATGTCCGGCTCTTTGCGACCCCATGGACTGCAGCACCCCCAGGCTTCCCTGTCCATCACCAACTCCTGGAGCTTACTCAAAGTCATGTCCATTGAGTTGGTGATGCCACCCAACCATCTCATCCTCTGTCTTCCCCTTCTCCTCCTGCCTTCAATCTTTCCCAGCATCAGGGTCTTTTCAAATGAGTCAGTTCTTTGCATCAGGTGGCCAAAATATTGGGGAGTTTCAGCTTCAGCATCAATCCTTCCAATGAATATTCAGGACTGATTTCCTTTAGGATGGACTGGTTGGATCTCCTTGCTGTCCAAGGAGTTCTCAAGAGTCTTCTCCAACACCACAGTTTAAAAGCAGCGATTCTTCGGCGCTCAGCTTTCTTTATAGTCCAACTCTCACATCCATACATGACTACTGGAAAAACCATAGCTTTGACTAGATGGACCTTTGTTGGCAAAATAATGTCTCTGGTTTTTAATATGCTATCTAGGTTGGTCATAGCTTTTCTTCCAAGGAGCAATCATCTTTTAATTTCATGGCTGCAGTCACCATCTGCAGTGATTTTGGAGCCCCCAAAAATAAAGTCTCTCACTGTTTCCCCATCTCTCATTGTTTCATTGTTTCATCTCTCATCTCTCATTGTTTCCCTACCTATATGCCATGAAGTGATGGGACCAGATGCCATGATCTTAGTTTTCTGACTGTTGAGTTTTAAGCTAACTTTTTCACTCTCCTCTTTCATCACGAGGCTCTTTAGTTCTTAGCTTTCTGCCACAAGTGTGGTGTCATCTGCATATCTGAAGTTATTGATATTTCTCCCGGAAATCTTGATTCCAGCTTTGCTTCATCCAGTCCAATATTTCTCATGATGTACTCTGCATATAAGTTAAATAAGCAGGGTGACAATACACAGCCTTGACGTACTCCTTTCCCAATTTGGAAACAGTACCCACCTGCCAATGCAGGAGACACAAGAGATGCAGGTTCAGTCCCTGGGTTGGGAAGATCCCCTGGAGGAGGGCATGGCAACCCACTCCAGTTTTCTTGCCTGGAAAATGTCATGGACAGAGGAGTCTATAATCCATGGTGTCACAAAGAGTCAGACACAACTGAGCAACTGAACGCACACTCATTTGTTGAGGGGCGGGGGTCACAAACAGGTCAGTACATAAATAAACTAGGTGATTTCAGATACTGTAGTGATCAGAACTATCAGGGAAATAAAACAGGGTGAGGTGACATAACATGAAATGGGGCCTACTTTAGAAAAGGAAGGTCCCTCTTTGGAGGTGATATTTGAGCTGAGACGCAGATGGTAAGTGAAAGAAGTGACAAGTACAAAGGCAAGCAAAGAAACAAGCCCAGTGGGATGAGATTTCAAATTCCAAGTTCCCTGGTCTTCATAAAAAACAGAGAAAGGTCTATGGAAGAATTCCAGAGGCTTTTGGGAGGGGGGCTTCAGGTCTATCCCATGATGTGGCTGAGTGGAGGGGTGCCCTCTAGTGGGGACAAGAGTTAAATTTCACATAGCTGACCTGGAATGCTGCATGCTTGTGACTTGACTCTGGGGTAATTATAAGTTTCACTCATTCTTGTCTCTCCCACACTTATTCATTCAACAGATATTTACTGAGCAGTGTGCCAAGCAACCCTCTAGATGCTAGAGTTGTGAAATCGACAGAGAAGGTCCCTGCCCTCCTGGAGCTGATACCCTAGGGAACAGTTCTTACCTCAATACTCTAGCCCCACTTCACCTCTTCCCTCTATTATTCTGTAGCTAAATTGGCCTCCTAATGTTCCAACAGGCAGATATTGTTGCTTCAGAGTCTTTGTATTCCCTTCCGCCCCAGGAAAGCAGGTCCCTGCTTCTTTGCATTGCTGGTTCAGGTCTCAGCTCAAAAGTGACCAAGTCAGAAAAATGTGAACTTATTTTTCTCGTTGACTGCCTATTTTCTTCACTAATATATAAAATTCCATGAAAGTTACTATTTTCTTGGAATTCCTCAGCCTTCGGCGTAATAGGTGCGCAGTAAACTTACTGAATGGGCTTATTATCCTGTACCCCAGCTTGTTTCAGAGGATAGTGAACAGTAAGTGAATGAACTGGACAAAACATACCACAAATCTCAGCCCTAGAAAAAAGAAAAAAGCTGTTGCACACTACCTCTGCCCCCTTTCTCTGCTTTATTTTTTCTTTCTTTTTGATCTGCTTTTTTTTTCTATACACTTATAACGTTCTAAACTATTATAACTTACTCCTTGGTGTTTGCGTGTCCCTGCTACTAGATCAGAATGTAAGCTTCATGAAGGCAGCGGATTTTGTCCATTTGATTCACTACCCGACCCTCAGTGCCCAGAACAGTGATGGCACCCAGTAGGCGCTCACTTTGGCCACCTGATGCGAAGAACGGACTCATCTGAAAAGACCCCGATGCTGGGAAAGATTGAAGGCGGGAGGAGAAGGGGACGACAGAGGATGAAATGGTTGGATGGCATCACCGACTCAATGAACATGAGTTTGAGTAAACTCCGGGAGTTGGCGATGGACAGGGCTGGCGTGCTGCAGTCCATGGGGTCGCAAATAGTCGGACACTACTGAGTGACTGAACTGAACTGAACTGAGGTGCTCAATACACAGAATGAATGAACTCTATCTACATCACAGTTTTCTCTTTCCTGCAGATCCTAAGTCACCTTATTCCAAGGGGGAAACGGACTTCAGGAGGCGACCAGAGGTGAATTCAGGTGGCCCGACCCAGGAGTCCGACCTCTGGGAGCAGGGCCATAAGAGCAGCTGCGGAGTTGGGAGGCGCCGGTAGCAGGAACAGAGAGAGGCCCGGGGGCTGAAGCGGTTCCAGGAAGAGGCGCGGGCGCTGACGGCGCCTGGCCAGGGACTGTGGGCGGTACCGTCCGATGGGACGAGTCACATGACTTACACTAACCACGCCCACCACCGATGGGCGGGGCTCATGCAAATAAGTCCGGGCGGCGGCCAATCGTGTCGCTCGCCGAGGGTCCAGGCCCGGGGATCCGGGACGCTTGCTTGAGCTCAGGGTCTTGTCTCTGCTGCCCCGGGCTTTTGCAAGCGGCGCGGCGGACCTGTAAGTTTGTGCTGTAGTCGCTTCTTCGAGCTACTTTTGGCGGCCGGGCGGCTGAGGCCGGACCCGCGCTGGGGCCAGGCGGCGGCTTCCTCAAGCGAAGGCGGAGGTGCGGCGCGGGGTGGGGGCTGCTGCCCTAGCAGGCGCCCGGGCCGGCCCGCGCCTTTGCAGCGTGCTCCATGCATCCGGAGCCCGCCCCGCCCCCAAGCAGCAACAGCCCCGAGCTTCCCCTCAGCGGCGGCAACAGCACCAGCGGTAGCCGCCGGAGCCGCCGCCGCAGCGGGGACGGGGAGCCCCCGGGGTCGCCGCCGCCGCCGCCGCCCGCAGTCACCTACCCGGACTGGATCGGCCAAAGTTACTCCGAGGTGATGAGCCTCAACGAGCACTCGATGCAGGCGCTGTCCTGGCGCAAACTCTACTTAAGCCGCGCCAAGCTCAAAGCCTCCAGCCGGACTTCGGCTCTGCTCTCCGGCTTCGCCATGGTGAGCTCGGGCCGCCCTGCCCTGCCCCCTCTCAGGTCCTGGCCGCTGCCTCCCACAGCCCCGACGGGGCGCACAGGGGAGCTCGCTGGGAGGGCTAGAGGGTCTGGGGGTGAAGGGAAGAGCTTGGAGAAAGCTGTCGTGGACGCTGGGAGGACCGGAGGTGCTGGACATGAGAGGTGGGCAACAAGTGACACCCGTAGTGGAGGTTGGGTATCATACCAATGTCCAGGGTTGGAGGGCTCAGATGGGCAAGCTTGATGCGGCGAGGAGGGAGAAACAGCAGGATGCTCGACGTCGATGTAAAAAGACAGCCCCACGCATGTTGAAGTGGAAGGGAAATTGACATAAGTAGTCTGATCTCTTTGGGAGCAGGTGTCAGGAGGTTGGGAGGAGAAGGACCCCTGAGCCGTCTCTCCCTGGTGCCCCCACACTTGAGGCCAGAAGGAATTGGCCAGCTTCTTTTATTATCTAGTAGAGGGGATTTCCTGATACCCTTTCTCCTATTGTATTTTCCGAGGGCCTCAGCCTGGGGGTTTGACAACCACTCCCCACCCTCAGTTTCTGCTCCAGAAACTTGCCACTGAGTCACTGGGTGTGGGGGAGGAGGGTGGGACATGTTCCCGTTGAATGGGCTCTTTTTTGACGTTGGGGGTAGGCTTAGTTTCCCCCGCCCCCCTTGTGTGCTGGGTTGGAGTGAGAACCAGCTTCTAGCAGGTGGGGTAGGTGAGGCTGCAGGTTGCCCTTAAAAGTGGCTCTGAGGATGCTTACAGGCTGGGACTCCTGGCGTCTCCCAGGACCGCTACAGAACAAGTCCTGGCCTCAGCCTGCATGGATGGGGTCTGCCTCGCCTCCCCCAAGGTTTTTAGCCCAGAGCACTCTTGCCTCACTGGTGAGCTAAGCTCTTGACCTTGGGGGAGGGAGTGGCTGCACCCTTTGAGTTTTCTTGGGAAGGGAGTGTGTCTGGAACTCTCCCTGGGCTCCACAAACTCGTGGGTGATGCAAGGGAACGAGAACTTTTTAGAAGCCCTAAGCAGGCCCAGAGCACCCGGGGCCATGGTGGCAAGACCAGCTGTCTGAGGTAGGGGACGTGCTTTTCTGGGTCTGCCCTTGCTGCTGCCTGTGCAACCTTAGACAAATCCCTCTGTGGGCCTTGATTGATTCCTCAATTGGTGAATGAAGGCTGCTTCCCAGGAGTTTCTCTGACTTTAAGCATTTAATTGAGGACTTCCCTGGTGGTCCAGTGGCTAAGACTCCACTCTCCCAATGCAGGGGCCCCCGGTTTGATCCCTGGTCAGGGATCCCACATGCTGCAACTAAGAGTTCGTGTGCCACAACTAAGATGTGGCGCAGCCAAATAAATAAGTTTTTCTTTGAAAAAAGAGTTTAATCAAGGAAGCCGTTGAGAGGGAAGGATAGAATGTGTGTGTTTGTAAGAAGTGTCACTCTAGTTTTTAGTTTAGGTCTATAGGAAAGGATTCTGTTCCATTACCCCCAAATCCTAGGAACAGCTGACACTTAGCCAAGCACCCACTAGGTGCTTTGCACTGTGGAGGTGCCCTAACTGACGCACTAAGTCCTCCACTGCGCTTGGAGGTAATTTTGGTGTGGGACCTTCCCAAGGCCACACAGCTCTCTTGCTGGAGCAGGATTTGAACCCAGGTTGGCTGGTATGCAGAACTCTCTTGGACTCATGCAATTTGTGGTGTATGGAGCTCCGAGCCCCGTCCTGCCAGGGACCTCTTAGGACCAGGCCTTGTAGGGAATGAGAAATCGAGCAGAAAAACTTCTCTTGAGCAAAATAAAATGTTACAGTTAGGGGGAAGGGAGTGACACCAGCGGCGGTCAGCTCTTCGCAGCAGTGAAGTGTTTCAGATGGTGGGGTGCCTGTTCCTGTTTTTCTTGGGGTGGTATATTCATAGCTGCCCAGGCCCCTTCCCATGCCGGGAGCAGTAAGGAGGCAACGGGTGAAGCTTTTCTGCCTTCTTGAGTCGTCTCTTAGAAGCCAGGCCTTCTGATCAGATGTCACCTCCCTCTTCCTCTTGCTAAAAACAGTGTGGGGAAGTCAGGCTGCAGGGGCGGCCAGCGGCACTTGGTGGGCCTTGACTCAACCAGACTGTCTTTTGGGAACCTTTATGTGACCCAACTGGGGTGGAGAAGGCTTCCTGGCTCCAGCGATGAAATCCCCCAAGTTCTGCCAGCAGGGAAGACTGAATCCCGTGCCCGCTTCCATTCTGGGAAAGCACTTAACGAGAGAGTAACTGCATCTGCCATGAGTCTGCAAACAAGGGGGAGAGATGGGGTTGGGGTGCAGAGAAGGGCTCAACAGGGCAGGTCCACCTGCACCCCGCCCCCACCACAGGCACCCAGCCTTGTGAATGCGCCTCAGAGAGGAAGGGGTGCCACGCAGCCAGGTGCCATGGAAACGGAGTGAGCAGGTTTCCTGGACTACTCTCCCTTGGCCTGTGAGTCAGCACAACCAACTTCCTGCCCCCAGAGGGCTTCCTTCTGAGAGACTGGGAAACCCAGAAGAAGTGACCTTTGATTTCCAAGGGATAGAGAGTTGGTGAGGTTGCCAGACTCAGCTGTGCACAAGGTGAGATTGAGGGAAGGTCTCCCAGGAGCCTGGAGGGCATGGAGAGACTCCCCTTTCCTGGGTGGAAAGGCCTGGACAGCTGCCCTGATGTGCTGGGGAGATAGGCAGTGGGACCTCAGGCAAGTGCCTTTACTCTTTGGGGGGCAGTTTTCTCGTGTGTACAAAGGAAACACATATCCTGCTCCCCCATGGACTTGCATGAAAAGTCGTTAAAAGGTTCGCTTGGACCCACAAGGGTTGAGGAATAGTCAGGATCTGATGATGGACCCTTAGGTGGGCCCTCTCTGGTCTACAGACAAGCATCCCACTCCTGATGGAGCTTCTGGAAATAGCACGCCCTGTCTAGGTTCAATATCCAGACTCCAAAACCAAGGGCCCAGGATGTAGCAGAGGATCAGCAGCCTGCAGGTGCTTCTTGAGCCTAGGTTGCTGTGATTCAGGCCATCCCTGCATCAGTTTACCTCTCAGCAAGAGGAAGCCAGCCTCGGCCTGACCCTCTCCCCTGGGGGCCATGACGAGCGCACGCACGCACGCGCGCGCTCGCACACACATGGCAGTCTTGGTTCCTGGGGAGGGCAGCCTGTAACGTTAGCCTAAGCAGAAGATAATTGGGAAGGTCAGCCTGTTGCCGTAAACAAAATGCTTTCCGTGACCTGGGATCAATTATTTTTGGATTATCTGCCTCCTCAAGTTCTCTGCTGGCCAGCACCCTTTTGTTCCCAGGTTCCAGAACGGGCTCAGAAGCAGCTTGGCATTTCTCTGAAAATGAGTTGGAAGGAAGGGCTCAAATCATAAGATGTTATTGAGCCTCTATGACATGTCAGGAGTTCAGGGGGCATGGAGATGAGTAAGAAATTAGTATTACTCCTCATGGTGCTAAATACTAGTGGTGAGCATTGCCACTGTTGATTGGGATCTTGGAATAGGTTAGACACCTGCTAAGTACTCTCTTTGAACCATCTCTTGTGAGCTTCAGAATGGGGAGTGAGGGTAAGTGCCCAGTGAATGACTTGTCTGAGGTTACCTGGCTGGGAAGCTTCCAGGCCCTGTGACTGTGGTGTGGCCCCCACTGCTGCGGGAGAGGAAGCACCAGAGAGAATGATGGAAGGACTGAGTTGGGAGGCTTGAGTATTGTAGAGTGAAGTAAAGAACAGGGACCCTGGAGCCAGACTGCTTGAGTGGGATCCAGATCCCCGCTCTGCCACGTAGAACTGTGAGATGCTGGGGAAGTTGCTTAATGTCTCTGGGCCTCAGTTTCCTCAGCTGTGAAATGGGAGTAATAGCAATAACCAACCTCAGTGGGTCAGTGTGATGGTTCATTTGTATCTGCAAAGCACTTAAAATATACGTGGTCCAGGTGTGACAGAAACTCGCTCACCCTTGTTCCCATAATGTTGAGACTACTTTTTTTTGGCCAAGCAGTATGCAGGATCTTAGTTTCCTGACCAGGGATTGAACTCGAGGTGCACGGCATTGAAACTGCTAGGAAATTCCTGGGACTGCTTTTATGAGAGTTAACTGGTTTAGAAGAATGTGATTCCAGCCAAGCCTTAAGGATGGTAGAGTCGAGCTGAGAAAGAACCCTGTCTATCAGAGGAAGCATCAGGAGCAAAGTTACAAGGATGAGAAATGATAAGGTCTTAGGGAAAGAAAGGCAGGGAGTCTGGTGTAGCTGGAGCTGAAGCCATGTCCGGGGGTAGTCGAGGAAAGTGAATCTTCCCAGACTAGACAGTGCAAGGCCTTCTGATATAGGCCGTGGGGAGCCACAGAAGATTTTGGAGCAAAAGAGTTCCATGATGAATTTTTTTGATACGTTTATTTATTTATTTATTTTTGGCTGAGTTGGGTCTTAGTTGCAGTACACTATGTAGGGTCTCAGTTCCCTGACCAGGGATTAAACCCGAGTCTCCTGCATCGGAAGGCTGATTCTTAACTGCTAGACCACCAGGGAAGTCCCATGATGAATTGAATAATGTTGGTGATGTTATTATTTACTGAACACCAGGCATGAGCCTTTCTTTCTTTCTTTAATCCTCAGAACAGCTCTTAAAGGTATGTACTGTAGGTGAGAAAGCTAAAAGGCTCACTGAGGTTGCGATCATCCAGCTAGTAGATTTCAAGCCGTGGTCTGTCTGACTTGGAGCCTTTTCCACTCAATCACCCTCTCGCCATGTCCCATGTAGCTGGCTGAAAACTGGGTCTTCGAAGTCTTACAGATGGATCCTTCTGTACGCTGAGTCGGTATAAATGGAATTTTGTTAAATGCCCCAAGGGAAAGGCACTCCCTGCCTAGCTGAGAAGCCTTTTGGAAAACTTCACAAGTGCCTGTGCACGTGTCTGGGGTTTTCAGCCAAGGTCTGTGTTGAGCTCTGCTGGTTTCTGGGTCCGGGGCTGGTGAAGGAGAGTT